ATTTTTAAAGTTCTGATGAATGATCTCTTTGCTCTTCCCTGTAAACTTTAAGGCTATACGAAAATTTGTATAAATAACTGTAAAGATTTTTATTTTTAAGCTATTTCACTATAATTTGAAGCTTTCTTATTTCGAAGAATATTTATAATTAAACTTTTAAGTGAATTCAAAGATTGAAATTCGGTTTCGTTCATCATAAAACTAATAAAATCTTCGTCGTTTATCAATCTTCTGTTTTGTGGTCCGCCAAAATGTCCAGTCTTTATTTATACCCTTGCAGAGCATATTCTAATTTTGCAACACAGCCATGGGAACATTTCCAACCTAACAAAGTATATATATTCTTGAACGGGCTAGTCGATCTAGCCATGTCTGTCCGTCTGTCCGACCGGTTTAGATTTATAAAAATCATATATAAGAACAATCGAAAAAAAAGGGAAATAAAATTATAACTTCGTTGTTTCTAAGCTAGAAATTTGAGGTTGAACATGTCGATTTTAGTTAAACAAGCGCGGGTTTTTTAAACTTTTAAATTGAGTATTAATTATGCCGCCAAAAACTGAGCTTACATAATTGAGAGCGGAACCTAATGACTGTTCTTTGCTTTTATTGTTGACACTGCAATTCGGCAAATGACGACACCTAAGCCCCGATTCTTTGCCAAAGGTGATATTACCTGGCACATTTAATGTATTTTGAAATTGGTTAACTGAGTATCTCATAGTCAGCGATTTGGATATGGGATTTGGAATTTCGGCTTTAATTAAATTAAGGTCGGACATCTATCCCTAAAGATTATAAAATGAAAGACCGATTTTTAAGGGGATACGGCCACAGCCCAAACCGTAAGAGCAAGAGCAGCCAAATTTTTTCACAGTATTCCATTGGGGGCGTGGGCGCCCACTAAGATCCGATATGTCCCCCCAGTGGCCCCAAACAGCTCCAACATCCATTATTCTGAGCAAAAAAAAGTTGATGTATTTAAGCTTAACTTCTAAACTGGTTGGAATTTCGATATTTGGTTTTTCCGAATTTTAGGTTTTGAAAAGGCCTAATTAGAAATCTAAAAGAAATTTTGATATCCCCCATAATTTGGGGGCTACATTTAAAATTAACTTTTCGATTTCAAAAATCTAAACCGCTGCTCCGATCAAGATGATTTTTCGCTCAATAGTTATTCTATGGCCCAAATGCTTAAGTTTAATATTTCAAGTTTTTAACATTTTTTTAAGTATTTTTAACGAATTTATTTAGATTTTCTAAGTCATTGCGTTGTATTTTGCGGGAGCCTGTCGAGAGAACGAAACCCAGAAGCCAAGAGAGCGACGGCCGAGAGAGCAACAGCCAAGAAAACTGATGAGGGGGAGGGGTAGTGCTGCATGGAAAGGGGAGGGGAAAGAGGCAATTTAAGTTAAATTTGTTTAGGATTTTAAAAACTTAAACTGCTGCTCCGATCAATATAATTTTCGATCAATAGTCAGTCCTGTGGATCAAATGCTTAGGTTTTATTTTTCATTTTGTAGCAGAAGTAAGAGCCTTGTTTAATTTCCACCATGGAAGAAAATAGAAAATTACTACAAATTCTGTAAGCAAAGCCAAAATGTTTCCAAGTTAAATATTAATCTTAAGATTCGAACTTTTGACCAAATACGTATGTACATATGTATATTTGGATATGTTTTGATTTGCTTATATGTACAATACATGTACATACATACAATGTGTGTATGTTTCTATTCGAAAGTAGATAATGTGCTTAAATACAAATAAAATGATTTATTATACCCGTTTATCGATCAAATGTGGAATCTGAAAATAATACGTTACTTTGCTGTTTTTGTATTGGATGCCAATCTTTTACTGTGTGTACAAAGGTTTTCGTTTCATTCAAAACAAGAAATTTGAAAACAACAAATTCCAATTTACAAACAAGTATACATATTTGTGCGCAAATTAAAATTGCATTGATAACATTGTAACTGATAAAAAGTATACAAGCTCACGACTTTTACTTGGATTACTTTCATCCCTAAAGATTATAAAATGAAAGACCGATTTTTAAGGGGATACGGCCACAGCCCAAACCGTAAGAGCAAGAGCAGCCAAATTTTTTCACAGTATTCCATTGGGGGCGTGGGCGCCCACTAAGATCCGATATGTCCCCCCAGTGGCCCCAAACAGCTCCAACATCCATTATTCTGAGCAAAAAAAGTTGATGTATTTAAGCTTAACTTCTAAACTGGTTGGAATTTCGATATTTGGTTTTTTCCGAATTTTAGGTTTTGAAAAGGCCTAATTAGAAATCTAAAAGAAATTTTGATATCCCCCATAATTTGGGGGCTACATTTAAAATTAACTTTTCGATTTAAAAAATCTAAACCGCTGCTCCGATCAAGATGATTTTTCGCTCAATAGTTATTCTATGGCCCAAATGCTTAAGTTTAATTTTTCAAGTTTTTAACATTTTTTTAAGTATTTTTAACGAATTTATTTAGATTTTCTAAGTCATTGCGTTGTATTTTGCGGGAGCCTGTCGAGAGAACGAAACCCAGAAGCCAAGAGAGCGACGGCCGAGAGAGCAACAGCCAAGAAAACTGATGAGGGGGAGGGGTAGTGCTGCAGGGAAAGGGGGAGGGGAAAGAGGCAATTTAAGTTAAATTTGTTTAGGATTTTAAAAACTTAAACTGCTGCTCCGATCAATATGATTTTCGATCAATAGTCAGTCCTGTGGATCAAATGCTTAGGTTTTATTTTTCATTTTGTAGCAGAAGTAAGAGCCTTATTTAATTTCCACCATGGAAGAAAATAGAAAATTACTACAAATTCTGTAAGCAAAGCCAAAATGTTTCCAAGTTAAATATAAATCTTAAGATTCGAACTTTTGACCAAATACGTATGTACATATGTATATTTGGATATGTTTTGATTTGCTTATATGTACAATACATGTACATACATACAATGTGTGTATGTTTCTATTCGAAAGTAGATAATGTGCTTAAATACAAATAAAATGATTTATTATACCCGTTTATCGATCAAATGTGGAATCTGAAAATAATACGTTACTTTGCTGTTTTTGTATTGGATGCCAATCTTTTACTGTGTGTACAAAGGTTTTCGTTTCATTCAAAACAAGAAATTTGAAAACAACAAATTCCAATTTACAAACAAGTATACATATTTGTGCGCAAATTAAAATTGCATTGATAACATTGTAACTGATAAAAAGTATACAAGCTCACGACTTTTACTTGGATCACTTTCATTTATTATATAGCTCTGCCAGTATCCTTCTGATTCTCTCTCTTGAAGGATCTTCTACAATGGTTGTTTACACCAAGGTTTTCAAAAAACATTTTTTTTGGTTGCACCTGGAGGGACAGGTAAAACCTTCTTGACAAACTTATTGTTGATGGTTTAGAAGTCTCCTATAAATCGGTCGACTCTGTTCATGATGCTGATAATGCAGTTCATTACCCTATTGAATTTTTAAATTCTTTGAATTCTCCAGGAATTCCTCAGCATAATCTGTCTCTTAGGATTGGAGCACCCGTAATGTTATTGCGAAATTTAAGTCCCCCAAAGTTATGCAATGGGACACGATTGCAGATAAAAGGTCTTCATAAGAATGTAATCGAAGCAACAGTATTTACGGGGTGCGCGAAGGGGGAAACAGTGTTTATACCCAGGATCCCATTAATACCATCCAGTCTGCCGTTTAAGTTTAAAAGGCTACAATTCCCTCTAAAAGTTTTCTTTGCAATAACTATAAATAAATCGCAGGGGCAGACTTTGAAGCTGGCTGGACTAGATCTTAGAGAAGATTGCTTCTCTCATGGACAATTTTATGTCACATGCTCTAGAGTTAGCTCTGCCAGTAGCCTTATTATTCTCGCTCCTGAAGGATCTTCTAAAAATGTTGTTTACACAGAGGTTTTAAAGTAATCATATTAATTAACATTATTAAACCTAGAAAGTTTCAGTGGAATAGGTCTAATTAGAGTTACCACATTAAAAAAAAAGCACCAATTTCTCTACCTCAGGGGTGGTGTGGAAATGGGAAAGTCTTGACAACCGTACTCAAAACTAATTTTAAGCGAACGAAGTCGCGCCGGGTACAGCTAGTATCATATAACTTCCATAGGAAAATCGAAAAATGAAAAAAAAAGATGAAATAAAATTTGTATTTTGTTGTTTTTCTGTTTATCAAAATATTCCTTTGAGATATAGTAATTACTTACTATATCCGAATTACGCTTTTAGTTTTTTTTTGCCATAGAAACGATGGCAAAATGCAGGGTAAAATACATAGCTTCATTGTTTTTATACCCTTGCAGAGGGTATTATAATTTTGGTCAAAAGTGTGCAACGCAGTGAAGGAGACATCTCCGACCCTATAAAGCATATATATTCTTGATCAGGATCACCTCCTGAGTTGATATATGCATGTCCGTCTGTCCGTCTGTCTGTCTGTCTGTCCGTCTGTCTGTCTGTCTGTCCGTCTGTCTGTTTCTACGCGAACTAGTCTCTCAGTTTTAAAGATATCGAATTGAAACTAGGCCGACTATATCCTATAGCCGCCATATAACTGATTGATCGGAAATGCCATAACTTTGGTGTTTGTTAAGTTAGAGGGTTGGGATTTTCTATGGGTTTTATCAATCAATCCGACCTACCAAATTTCATAAGGATCGGCCGACTATATCTTATAGCTGCCATATAACTGAACGATTGGAAATGTCATAACTTTGGTGTTTTTAAAGTTAGGAAGTTGGGACTTTTTATGAGTATTAAGAATGCATCATATGAATAATTTTGGAGAATATAATTTACAGAGTATTCTGCAAGGGTATATCAACTTCGGCTCCGCCCGAAGTTAGCTTTCCTTTCTTGTTTATATAGAAATCGAAATAGTTGTTTTGTAATAACTACAAGGGTATATAAACATTGCTTCCCTTCCTGTTATCTTTTCTATATATTATTGTTTTTCATTTCAGACGCAGACAAAGCACGGAAACATGGAATGGAAGATTTTATAAGCACCGATCCGTGTACTTTTGACCATGCTACTCTTTTCAAAACTTTACAAAACCTCACACTAGAATATAGACTTAACGATCCATATGCGTCTCTGGTGAGTTGATCAAACTAAAATTTATATCACAGATTTGGAAGGCCAAGACTATTTAGTTTTTGTTTCTAATGCGATGGAGCTACGGAAAGGTTAATAGATTGAAAAATATTTACTTATTTATTTATTTAACAAGAGGTGAATTTTTAATTTAAGGATGAAAAGAACGGAATGACTTTGCTTAAGCTTGAAATGTAGGAGCTCACCTCAAAGGAACATAAGTGGCAACATTCAATGCAATTTTCGCAAATTACTCAGAATGGGTAAAAACGGGAGTAGTTTGCAAACCAGTAGTGCCTAGGCCATAAAAAATATGTCTTAAACGGAAATCATGTGGATTTTCAATGGGATCTCTAAGAATGCAGTACTCAACAATACTTCGCTTCTCTGTTTATACATTAGCGCAATGCTCAATTGTACTTCGTGACTGTTGACGCATCATGGATCCATCACTACACGCCAGAAGTGACAGAATAGTTTTATGTTTTTTGTGACTGGCAAGGCTTTACACATACAAAAAAAAACTATTCTATATTAATAAACTAATTTAATGCTGAATTGATAAAAACAAAATCGACAATATATAAATAATATAACAAAAAAAATATAAAATAATCCTGGTACAGTCTTCATTTGAACACAAAATTTGCAAGAGTTAACTAACAAGTTCTAGTCTGTGATACTTACCATTGTAATTTTTAATGTTAGTTCGATTTCAGTTCCGAATTAATAACCTTATCTTTCTGCAGTCAAATTATGAATATATTTATTGTTATGTATTGGTCTAAATGGAATCTCAGCCCAGAAATATTTTATGTGTACAATTACATTTGTGTTAGTGCTAAAATGCTAACAAGTAGTTTTTGGTTTCTAAGTTTGAGCTAGTGTTGAGTCGCACATCCTGCCTACTGCTGACGGTGCAGTCTTGCCAAATTCAAACGGCTAGCTGCCGGTCATCATCCAGATATGGGGTAGTACGGAGAGGTTTAGGCGGTGGTACCGATATGGTAACTCAAGCGCTCATTGCTTTCTTTTTTGGAAAGGCGATATATTTTTTTGTAAACAGCGATCCCGAAAAAATATAAACTTATTGTTTGCCGTTAGTGCAAATGTTTTTTCATCCGCAATCGCAAAAAAAAGCGTAAGAACTCGCAGTCTATTTTAAATTTTATTTTAAACAAGAGAGAACGCTATAGTCGGGTGCCCCGACTATCAGATACCCGTTACTCAGGTAAAGGGAGTGCGAGGGAGATGGAGATAGAAACTTTGATCACGCATAACTTTTTAACGAATGGTCCGATTTGAAAAATGTTAATGTCATTTCGATAGGTATTGATAAACACAATAAAACTGCATTTTTACTTTTCCGAAATATTTAAATTTTTAAAATCGTATATAAGCGATTGTGGGCGTTAAAGGGGGCGTGGCACAAACTTGCGCTGCGTAGGAACTCCTAGAATCTGCATGAAAAATGCCAATCTTCTAGCTTTTATAGTTTCCGAGATCTCAGCGTTCATACGGACAGACAGACAGACAGAAAGACAGACAGACAGACGGACAGACGGACATGGCTAGATCGACTCGGCTAGTGATCCTGATCAAGAATATATATACTTTATAGGGTCGGAAACGCTTCCTTTTAGCTGTTACATACTTTTGCACGAATACAATATACCCTTTTACTCTACGAGTAACGGGTATAAAAAGATATACTTATGTTAATTGTGACTCTCTACATTATTATACCCTTGCAGAGGGTATTATAATTTTGGACAAAAGTGTGCAACGCAGTGAAGGAGACATCTCCGACCCTATAAAGTATATATATTCTTGATCAGGATCGCCTCCTGAGTTGATATAGCCATGTCCGTCTGTCCGTCTGTCTGTTTCTACGCAAACTAGTCTCTCAGTTTTAAAGCTATCGAATTGAAACTTTGCACACACCCTTCTTTCCTTTGCACGCAGTATATAAGTCGGAACGGCCGGGATCGGCCGACTATATCCTATAGCTGCCATATAACTGATTGATAGGAAATGCCATAACTTTCGTGTTTGTAAAGTTAGGAAGTTGGGATTTTCTATGGGTTTTATATTTGGCCAATCAATCCGACCTAACAAATTTCATAAGGATCGGCGGACTATATCCTATAGCTGCCATATAACTGATTGATCGGAAATCAACTATATCCTTTGGTGTTTGTAAAGTTAGAAAGTTGGGATTTTCTATGGGTTTTGGCCAATCAATCCGACCTACCAAATTTCATAAGGATCGGCCGACTATATCCCATAGCTGCCATATAACTGTTAAAGTTAGGAAGTTCGGATTTTTTATGAGTATTAAGAATGCATCATATGAATAATTTTTGAGAATATAATTTACAGAGTATTCTGCAAGGGTATATCAACTTCGGCTCCGCCCGAAGTTAGCTTTCCTTTCTTAGTATATACGAATTTTTATAAAGGTAGTAAAAAATCCAGTTTTCTAAAGATCTCGCAGTTTTCAGTGCGAAAGCTAAAATAAAATAATCTTGTTTACCAACTTATTTTCATTTTATACCTCTGTAGGGTATTATACTTTTAGTCAAAATTTTGCTACGCAGTGAAGGAGACATTAAATTCTTGATCAGCATCACCAGGAGAATCGATCTAGCCATGTCCGTCTGTCCGTCCGCCCGTCAGTCCGTCCTTCCGTTTCTACGCCAACTAGTCCGTAGTCCTAGTCAGTATCAAAAAACTAGAACTGTTGTTATACCCTCTCAGAAAATATTAGAACTTCAGTCAAAAGTTTGCAACGCAGTGAAGTAGACATTTCCGACCCTATATAGCATATAGATTCTTGATCGGCATCACCAGGAGAGTCGATCTAGCCATGCCCGTCTTTCCGTTTCTACGCAAACTAGTCCCTCAGTTTTAAAGCTATTTGCTTGACGCTTTCTCAAAAGTTGTGTTTCTATAGCAGGTAGTAGCCGGAACGAGCCGGATCGGGCGAATATATCATATTGCTCCCATAGGAACAATAAGAAAAAACAATTTAAAAAATTATAACTTTTGTTTTTAATTTTCTTTGTTGTTCTTTGGCATTTAGTAATATTTAAATATTATGGAATTACGTTTTTAATTAAATTAAAATCGGACAACAATATCATATAGCTGCCATAGAAACGATTGCAAAATGCAGCGCAAAATCGTCAAGGGTATATAAATTTCGGCTTGTTTTTAATTTTATTTTGTTCTTTGGGATTTAGTAATATTTAAATACTATGACAAATCACCAACTCACTACTCAATTCACAACCTATTTACACTTATCGACCTTTCTCTCGCCACCGCCAACATTGCCCCAGAAATAACATGGAAAGTGATCGACGACCTCAATGGCAGCGACCACTTCCCAATACTTATTTCTTTGTTTCGGAATACATCCCCATCCTTTACCGCTAAACCTTCCTTTAACCTCAAAAAAGCAGACTGCTAACTTTATTGGTCAACCTACCAACAATGTAAACAAAGAAGCTGCCATAATAAAAAAAATAATTGTTCAAAGTACCCACCCCTCTATACCCCAAAATTCTATCTTTACCCTGTGATGGTCAGCTTTGTTTGTGTACGGCTTAAGTCATATACATATGTAGTTTTGAGAGTCACTTTGTTTGTCTTATCTTATCTCTAAAACAAAAGCTCAAAAGATAAAGCCACGCTTGTGTAAAAGAACTTTGGTTAGCTGATTTATCTTAGTCAGCAATACTATCTGTTTTTTTTTGGAAGTAAGCTTATCCTACGCCCACGCGGTTTATGGAAAACTTTTAAGCATGTGCATTTAGTTGGTCAGAGTCTCTCAAATAAATCAGATCGTTCTTGGAGTAAATAAAATCGTACACTTAAAACACGTGATAATTTTTGCACATGCCAAATAAATATAAAAAGGCAATTTTATTCAAAGTGCGTTATAAAAATATTAAGTGCATAATAGAAAACCGATCAAGAGACGTAGGAAGAACCTAACTTGGCAAACATATATATGTGCAGGTAAAATTTGTCACGAAAAATATCAATACATGTGACTGAAATAAAACATAAAGTTTCAGGATTTGTGGTTGGATTTAAATCCACCAATTAATGAAACTGTTAAGCTGGCCAAGCGACGTTCAACCTGATCAACTAAAAACTCACAGCAGCGCAGCGTAAAGGAAATAACTTGGATGAGAATTAAAACTATATATACTGGACAAAAAAAAAAACAACGAAAAGAGCATGCTACCACAGATATTTTTTAATTAATAATTTTTATATTTATATAACCTAACCCTAACCATTAAAGTTACAGCCACTCAGCTACAGGCCTGCATGCACACGTGGATTTAAAAAGGTAACAAGTAAAAACAAAAAATAAAAAAATAAATAAAATTTAATAAGATTATTATGCATATATATATATAAAAAATTTAAAAAAACAAACAAATTAATGGTAGTCAAGTAAAAAAATGAAAAGTCAATTTCTATAGTTTTATAGTTTTGTTCAATAGAAAATTATATATAATCAAATTAATTATTTAAACACTATTTAACCTTTCAATAAATTAAGAATACATATATTAGGATAAACCTTCTCTCAAGAAATTAAAATGAAGTATTTGTTAATAATTAGAAAAGAGATAAGATATTGAAATGAACGTTATTATTTTTATATACATATTTATTGCTATTAAGAACAAGAATTATATTTGAATATTAACATGGAGAAACTGAAATAATTTAATATAATGGGGTACTAAAAGAAAAACAAACACACATCAAATCACTTAAGGGTTAACACACCAAATTCAAAGCATTGCAAAGTGTTAACAAGGTTGGGCGGGTAATATAGAGCACTTACACCAAGCTCTTAAAAAAAAAAATAAAACAATACGCATAAGCATAACTAAAATTGTAACATCTGGCTAGGTTAGCACATTCTCTTGTAATTTCGTTAGCTAGTTTTGATAAAAGATACCCCCCAATCCGAC